TTTTAGAGAAGTGGAAGGGAGTCAGAATTGAAATTAACGAGGATAACCTATGCACTTTAAAAATTAGATTTATCACAAAGACAGTTATACCAGCCCTGAGAGGTGGGCAGAGTTAGAATACTGAAAAGGAAGAGGCAGAATTTAGCCCCACCTGTGTGAAGTGTGAGATATGAAGTAGGTTGGAGTTAAGGGAGGAACAATCCCTGTGACTACTCCCAAAGAAGGTGGATAATTCTCCAAATTTGGAAAAGTAGGTTAAGAATGCAGAAATAGAGAACAAAAACCATTATTGGGATTAATGCGAAAATTGGGGAATCACTGAATCACCAGAACCAGTTTTACGCCGAAATGCATATAAGCAGATGACTTTGGGAGCTCAGAGACTTAGGGTCGAGAACCTGCATAGAGTACCTCTGGAATCCACGTCAGCTGCCACCAGATCTGATTCTAAAGAACTTTGAACCCAGCTCCTCCAGAATTTTAGACAAGGCCCAGTGTCATTATAGAGATTGACATGAGAAGGGTTAATTTCTGTTGTACCAAGACTTAATATATCAATTGAAGATTAGCCCCATAAATCTTTTGTTTTATTTTTTGTCATGAAGATATTTTTCTTCTTTAATGTAGCTTCTACCACAGTTTGAACTAGCACTGCAATTACTACAACCTTTGATCTTCTACTTCTCAGATCAATAACACAATGTGAGCAGAATGTTGGCATGGATCAAAGCAGCCAGTGATCAATACCCAGCTTGGAGCAGCATCAGCAGTGACCAACACAGAGTTAGTCCTGTAGTTAAAATGTTGTCTTAAGACCTTGAGGACTGGGCCACTAAATGTGGTTACACCACAGGTGTAGGTGGCAACCAAAGGGGTTATATTAATTGGTGACTGTTGACAGATGTTACAAAAGTAAAGAAAAATAAAAGCTTAAATAAAATCAATTCAGACAACTGTATTGTGTTTATGTGAAAGTAAAGCAGTAATAGTCAGAAAGTTGTTAATATTAACCATTTTAAACAGTATTGGTTTTCAAGTTTACCACACCATATTGAAATGTAACTTGAGTCTTCAAAATTTGAAAAAAAAAAAAAAAAAAAAAAAAAAAAAATGATTAAAACAAAAACAAAAAACAGGCCAATATTCTCATGAGCATTGGTATCATGAGCTGCTTAACCTATTGGGACACCATATGTACTGCAACCATAGCAGCAGTGGGTGTGTCTAAGACAAGCTAGCTCATTCTTCTTTAGACTGGTTTTGAAGTCAGTTTTCCTTCTTCTAAACTAGTTGCCACTCAAGGTTAAGAAGACCCAATTTGCCCTGCTATTTAACCCATAGGTGGCAGATGATGATGTACTAAAGCTCTTTTCCAAGAACATTAGCACAAAGTGAATGAAAGACTTTGACAGGCTTGAACTCAGTATGTTAATTTCACTTTCCATGCTGACAGCTGTAACATAACCTGCACATCATTAGTTAGAGTCACAACCAACTTTACAATTATAATTTGGTAATTTTTTTTTTTATAGATTTTGTATGTAAAAGTGTAAATTGATTTTTGTTCAGGTCTTTTCAGTCTTATTTAAAATGCTTGCAGAAATGGACATGTGTCTGATACAATAAAAAAAAGTTCATACATTTTAGTAAGTGCTCAGTTTACCAGAGAAAAAGATGTATCAATTTCAATTGTTAGTAAATCATTTGGTCTGCTCACTATGCTTCCCTCATTGGATAAAGAGAGTCACTTGTCACAGATTTGTATATATCAGCTGCCATTTTTGAGACAACTGAACACAACCTATTGCAAAGTCTTATGTTTCCCCTCAAGCCAAATATATCTCCACAAAAAAAATAAAAAGCAATACTTAAAATTTAAAATACATTTTAAAAATGAAAAATATTTCTTGAAGCTTTTACTCTAGTTTTAATTCTAAGCTAATAGATTAAATTTAATATTTCCAACAAGCAAAATATTTTGTATTTCTAACTGAATTCAAATTAATTAGAATTATTTTTGTCCAATTATCAGTAAAATTTATAAAATCATCCATATTGACAAATCTCTCAACATAATTGTTTTTATTAAAAAAAATCTTTCAAAAATAAAATATTTTTCTGAAACATTGAGAAAAATTAACTGATTACTTTTAGTTTAAAATATCACAGAAAAGCATTTTAAAATTTTTTTTTTATTACACGGAGGTAGGTGCTTTTATGAAGTGTTGGCAGATTTATTAAAAAACTGATGTTTAGTAAATTTGATTAAGGGATAAATAACTTAAAAAAAAAAAAAAAAAAAAAAAAAACACTTTTATACAACTTGAATACCTTTTTATATGATTTTATTGAAAGTACCCAGTAATCATAAATTTTTTTAAAATATTCTAAGCAATCTAACATTTTATTGAATTTTAAGTAGTTCAGCTTTATAATCTTACGAAAACACTTGTGAGAATGTTATAAAATTACCAATAAGTTTTAAGTTTACTCTAGTTACCACCCTTATTTTCTAATAGCGTGTATCCGTCAGTCAGTTATGTGCCATACACGAAACATGCTTAGGCGATCATGTATCTTTTGATACATGACTGACGAAGCAGATTTTTTCCCCTGCAATAGGTTGCCATTTCTTTTTGCTCTAGACCAGTTGCCATCCAAGGCGAAAGAACCCGGTCTGTCCTGCTATTTACCCATAGCTGGGGGGAGAAGAGGATTCATATCTTTCCCAAGGATAGCACATGTGAATGTAATGGATTCGACTGGAATTTGAATTCGGCTCTGATTCCTCAATCCGAGCCACTATCCATTACTCTACCATACCTCCAATAGTGTGTATAGACGTCCACATTTACAAAAATTGGCACATTTATACATGCACAAAAAATATTCAAAGTTTTGTTTTTTTTCAAATACTGGTGAAGGGGAGCATGCTGAATTTACATTTATGGTTAGTAAATATAATTTTTATTTAATAATATCTCTTGACTGCTACAAAATAATACAGAATTTTAAAAGTTTATTAATTTTTCTAATTAAGAATTTGTAAAAAAATAAACAATCCTTGTAAAAGTTCATTATTCATCAAGAAATTTTTTTTTCAGAAGACAATAGTGTCCCTAAATGAATGTATTTTATTCATAAAATCAATTAAAAGCTTTTCTTAGTTTCATTGTATTATTTATTTTACGATTCAGCAGATTTTTTTGTAATTGGAGGTCCTGCTTGGTCAAAAAACACTACATGATATTCACCTAGGACTTGTACTTATAATTAAAAAAAAAAAAATAAATAAAATAAACAAACATTGGATAATGCAAAAGAAAAAAAAAATTTCGAATTTTCGTAAAATTTAGTCTTGGGTAAGAAATATAAAATATTTTTACCAAGATTTTCTTAAAAAGAAACTTCAAAAAATAATTTCATTCGTTTCTGAATAAGTACTGAAAATTTCCTTGAAATTCGACAATTGTTTGATTTTTACAAGAGTTTCCAAATTAATGTTTTTCACCGCAAAAAGACGTTCAAATTTCCCATATGGTCCCCCATTGACGCTAGAGAGAAACAAGATTTTTTTAACCAAAATTTCGAAGGTTCGGAAAAAAAAAACTTTTACATCAAAAAAATCTTTTGGTCTTTCTTAAAGAGAACAGTTTGTTTGCTAATAAAATTTTGGTTTTATAAAGCTTCGGACATTTTTTTTTTTTTTTTTTCATGCTCATTATTTTTTTAGCGAATCTTTGGATTGGAGCTACATACGTCAAACGTTATTTAAGGTGAATACTAGTGTTTGAAATAGAAGCCCTGTTTTTTTTGTTTTTCGATTTTAATACACAAACTGTTTAAAATAAAAAATGGGCATGTACAAACAAAGTGATCGGTGTTCTACTGTTCGCAAATTTCTAATTTTAAAATAAAATCCTCGTGTTGCTTTTTGTTTGACATGCCTTCAGTTGAAATAGACGTTTATTTTCATTGTTTGAATGTCACTACAAAAAACAAATTCATATTTTATTACTTCAGAAATTAATTAATATTTTCTGAGTGAAAAAAAAAATTTTTTATTAAGAGCTAAAAAAAAAAAAAAAAAAAAGTGACGTATGTTTTTTTTTAATAAACAAAAACCCCAACACAATAAAATTTAATTTATTAATAAAAAAAGGAAACCTGAAAACATTTTACCTTTTTTTTTGGTCTTTGAATGAATGAATGAATGTTAGAAGATATCAGATTCCAAACTAATCTTCTCCCAAAATAAAAAATTCAATCTCGCCAAACTTCCTTATTTGGGAAAGTCTGATGACAAAATTTTTAATTGGCTTAGGTAGGCTTCTTCATAGGAAAACGTTGAAACTTCTTTTTAAAAGTGCTATCCTTACCAATCCACGTTACGCATAAAATTCTAAGGTTGGTCAAACAATAATAAATAAAAAAGTTAAGCAAAACTTACTAAAAACAAAACAAGTATCTCAATTTGCTACGGGAGTCCATTTTCAATATAAATAAGAATAACTATGAAGAGATTAAAATGTTATATTACTTTTTTTACCCAAAATAATAATAAAAAAAATAAAAAGTTAACATCTCTGATATAGAAACTTAGAATTTTATGTGGAAATTCTGGATTTAGAGGGAAAAAAACAGTTCCAATAGTTGAGTGAGTCAATGGTCAATGTGGGTGTATCGAATCAGTTTTTTTTAAATTATTTAACAAATAAAGTTGTTTTTTTTAATTTCAAACTAATTTATGATTCAAACAAAGTCGTGGTACGATAATAAAAAGTAAGTCTGATAATATTCCGATTTTTTTAATGGCCTACACGTGCCACTGATAAAAAATGTCTAAAAAAGTGTTTTTACAGGATAATTTTTTTTTTCGCTATGTACAGGGAAAATGATGTTATGTGCCATAAATAAAAAAAAAAAATAAAAAAGCACAAGAAGAATCAGTCCTAAAAGTGAGGAAGTTAGACAGATTGGACACTACTAGTATTACTTACCTCTTGTTCATCGTTCCCATTCCTTGTTGAAAGCAACTACTACTAATTAAAAACAACGAATGAGAAAAGAGATCTTGTTAGAAAAGAAAGACGAAGAAAAGTGATAAGTTCGCTGATGTTGAGGAGAGGGTAAGATAGATAAAAATAAAATGACCGACACTAATAAAGATCTTAAATGATTGGATACCGCCGCTTTTAAAAACCAAACTATTCACGAAAAAAAAAGAGCAAAGTACAAAAAAGTATTCCTTAGAAGAAATCCAACCTTTTAAGTTCCAATTCCGTTTTCGGTTTTACCAAATTGAAACTCTGCTAATAAGGTCAGTTTGTAATTGGCACCGACTTAAAAAAAAAAAAAAAAAAAAAGATCTATTTTTTTAAAACCAACAACAAAGAATATTTGTATTGAAATGTTTTTTCCCCGATTAAATAAATTGTGTTTTTATGGAGAAAACTACGATGAGTAAAAATAAAACAAACTGCAATAAAAAGTGTTTTTACTTTTTAACGAGTTTTTTTTTTTTACCTTATGAACATTCCTAGAGTAAAAAAAAAAAAAAAATGATGGACACGTCGACATCAAAATTACAAAATTCAACTGAGATTTAAAAAGAAAAAATATCCTTAAAAACAAAGTCATATTCGTTCTTTTTCTTTAATTTTCTTTAAAACTAACAGCCACACGAACGGCAACAACTTTAAGTGAACATACGACAAAAAGTTTGAACAAACTAACGAACCAGTAACTTACACATGTCGCATTTTATTCGCAAATAGTATTGCTGTTGGAGGTGTGGCTTTAAAAATGCTAAAAAATAAAAGTGAATAACGTAAAATAATCATAAAAAGATATTGTTTTAACATTTTTAACTTATAAATTCTAAGAATATTTTTTTCTTTTGATAAGGGACACGTATTGCTTTTTTCTTTGTCCACCACGGCTTGATGTTCTTTTTTAATCTTCCCCAAGAATGAACTAGTGGATATTTCAGATTACTTGGGACTATGTTCTTGGGTTTTCTGTAGCATTTTAAAGTCCAATTGGCTTTTTTTCTATGTGCAGCGCCTCTTCAGGACATAGACGATAATGGCTCTCTACAAAAGTACTAATTTCAAAATATTCTTTGATAGATCAAAAAAATAAAATTAAAAAATTCGATGCAGTCATGTGAATGAAGATATTTACACTGATATTATCCAAAAATCTATTCATTATAAAATACAATGTGACTATTCATCAGTCACGCAACCTGATCTGTCCTACTTATAACATTCCATTGTTATGGTGATAATTGGTATTATTTGACACCATAAACGACAGAATCTCTCATTATAAGTAGTGAGAACAGTTTGCTATACATTTTTTTTATTAGCTTGCTTTTGAGATTTTTATTTTTAATTATTTCAAAAACAGAATTCTTTCTTACTTGTGATAAGTATATATTGTATAGGTAAAAAAAAATCCTAGATTACTCAATCTGAAATCAATGCCATTGCAAAATTACTTAAATATGGCAAGTTTATATTTACAAGATTGTAAAGGTTTAAACTAGGATTAATAGAGATTCCTATTAAAATTTTAGGTTACCAAGTTACTCCCATTTGAAAAAAATGATTAAGAACTTAGTGTATTTTGATTTATATGTTTACAAGTATGCAACCAAGTATTTTCAATTTGAGGATGGATTCAAGATGGCCTGAACATAAAATTTAGATAATGTGTGTTGTGAGTTGGTAAGAGTAGATAGGACTCAGTAAAGCTTCATCTTTGCACCAATAAAGATTATCTAATTGACAATTCTTACAGAGATTATGTCATATTTCCTGAAACTTGTTATCTAATGCTTCATGTTTGGCCAGGGATCATTAAGAAGCATAATGTCTTGTTCTATTACACTCAAGTTCACAGATATTCTTTAAGAGAACTTGACAATTTTTCTATCACGTGGTTGTTCATTATTATTATTATTAAAAAAATACTAACAACAACAATTGATGGCTCTTATGATTTATGATCATAATTGATTGAAAGTGTTAAAATGAAAATGTTTTGTCTTGTAAAGTAATATGGGAAACAGTAAATATCTTTTTCAGTATTTTGCTTGTCTGTTGCCTGACCATAACCAGTTGTGTATTTCCCCTACTGGTTGACACACTGTTCAAGAGCAAGATTAATAGAGAGCATCATGACTAAGTGTCAATAGGATTTTTTTTAAGTTTGAAGGATGAGCCAAGGAAGACTATAGATACTTGGGAACACCTTCAATCAGAGACTAAGCAGATTGGGTTACCTAATCTAACCTGGCCCACCTGCAATGTTATGTTTTTATCAAAAGCTGTCACCATATTGTACATATTTGGCTGTGATGTATGTACCTGGCATATCCTTATCAGACAGGGTGTCATGATGTGTATATTAAGTGTCAGATGTTTGTACCCCAGAGTCATATTGTTAGACTACTGCTCTCTCACAAAATAACATAAATCTTTGGGTTGACCTTCGGGCAAATTGGTTTGAAAGTATCTTAACTTGTAAACACATCAATATACCCCTGAATTAAGTAACTCTTGTAAATTTCCTCACAAAAACAAACCCAATAAGGCAAATAGATCATTATTATAACTGTTTCTAATTTATTTATGAAATTATCAAAAGATAGAAAAAGATCAGAAAGAGCGAAAAAAAAAAATTATTTGTAAATAAATTGTACCTAATTGTGATTGAACCAGTTGCAAAAAAGTCCAAGTAAGCTGAATATGCTTTAAAAGATCAACCACTTCATTTTGGCTAGAATTGAGAGCAGAGTTCTTGAAAAATGTAAATCAGTACTTGATAGATATTCAGAACTTGTAAATTATAATCCAATATTCTACCATTAAGTCTAAACTCCAGTCATTTATACTTAGTATAAACATCTAAGTTCAAAGAAAGAAAACACTTTTGCATAGTTTCCAATGCTTCCCCACCACCTGATCAAAGTATTTTGCAAAAAAGAATTTATCAAAATTTACCCCTCCCCCACCCAAAAAAGTGTCAATTTTTATTGTTTTAAAAAGATGAAACTGGATTTATGCAATTTCTTTTTTTTTCTCAAGAACTGACAATAAAAAGTAACACTGTCAGATTGTTTATTTATAAGAATAATTTTATATTTACAAGATTATAAAAATGTGAACCAACTATGATGCAATATTCATTATTTACTATATTATAAAGAAATAACAATGAAAACAATGTTTTTTTAATTCATAAATTTATAAAATGTCTACTAACAAGAGGGAAATAAAATTTAAATAAACACATAACAATGAGTAACTGTAAATATAAATTTTGAAAAGATGCATTTTTCCAACATTTCCTCTGATCACAAATTCAGTAAAATAAGTTCAAAGCTGAGACAAAAAAAAAAATAAATCCAATTTCATGTGTTTGGGTCTTATTAGAATTCTAAAAATAGCTTTTAAAAACAATAAAAATTGCCAAGGAAGTATGTCAAGAAAAAAACTTTATACACATTTTTTTTTTACCCCCACCCACTTTGTTAAATTTTGCCCAAATTTTATAGCTTACCTGGTTTGTGTTAGTCATTTGAATCTGATGTCAAGTGTGTGGGAGATATTACAAGCCACAATAAATTTATTAGGTACCTCCATGAAATGGCTAAAAAAAAAAAAAAAAAAAAAAGCATAGCTTGATGGAAAAGACGCCAACCTTGCCAAAAACAAAATTTTATCATCTAAATGCTTATGTTATTATTAAGAGGAAAGACCAAAGTTTTTTTTAATTATTTAAAATTTTTTTCTTTTTAGAACATTCTAAATTTTGATTAAAAAAACCTTGTTTCTCTTTGTATGAGCGGAACTAGTAAATAACAGAATTTTTAGCACGTTTTTTTGGTATGACATACATTAATTTGGAAAATCTTGCAAAAATATAAATAATTGTTGGATGTTAATGAAACTTTCAGGAACTATTCACAGATAATCGAAATTATTATAAATATTTTTTTTTTATTAAAGTCATGGCAGAAATATTTTTTTTATATTACCTCCCCCATAACTAATTTTATGAAAACGCTAGAAATTCCATCGAGTCTAGTTTAATGATTACAATAGTTAAAAGCACAAGGCTTTGAGGAATGCAAATCATGTTTTTTGTTTTTAATTGGACCCCCCCCACCTGAAAATCAGCTCTGAATTGTAACATACAAAACTCAATAAAACAAAGATATTATTTAATTTCAAATGCTTTTATTTGCTTTTAGTTGTTTTTAGGAAAGCAACAAATCTTTCCAATGAAAAATGAATTTTTAATACAATTATTTGTTATTTCATTAATTATAATAGATTTTTACATTTAATTTTTTAAAATATTATAAAATTAGTTAAAAGCCGCATCAGGTTTCCTAAGTCTCCTTATCAGATAGATCTTTTTTTTAGCAAATTGTAAATTGTATCATTTTAACTAATCAGAAGATCTGCAGTAATTAAGAAATGTAATTTTGGGTTTATAATCAGGCTGTAATTATAATGTACAGAAGACCAACCAGAATACAATTAAGTTGCTTTATTTGAGTTAAGCATTGTTCTCCGCTGTTAAGGCTTTTGCAAAACACATGTGGAGAAGTTAATTTGATTTTCAATTTCAAATGAGAAGGGTACCTACAAGTATCAATATCATCTTATGAAATTTATATGATCTTATTTTTATATTAATCTCAGTTATGACATTTTTCCATAAATGAAATATCAAAATTAATAATAAAATGAATGGAAATACAAACAACACAGTAAAATGTAATAAATGTACATAAAATTATAGTATTTTATGTACAGTTCTGATAAAGTTTCATAAGAAAGGTACCTATAAATTAATTTCTTATGAAATATAAAATTTAATCTCACTCTTAACAGTCTTATTTTAATTTCTTTATAATATATTTTCCATAAAGCATCATAAACATAAAGGTGAAAGCTAAGTACAAAAAAAAAATTAGAGCGCTGAAAGTTT